TGGTTTGCAGAATTTTCTCTCTCCTGGTTAATGTGGTGGTGGTGTACTATTAATTATATAGTCCTATTATTTAACAGGTAACCCTGATTTCCCAATTAAACCCATGTAGGATTTATTGGCAGTGCTGGCAGATATTCGGGTGGGGCTTTGCTTAAAGTGGTCCTGTATCCTTTCGTGTTGCCTTCAATTTATTGGTATATTTCTCTAGATACTTGTTGCATGATCTTTCATCATTTAAAGAAGTGACTAATTATGCAAAACAATGCAGAAAATGTCTCCTTCCATTTATAACCTCTGTTCAGGCCAGTAATCTGCTGGGTTTTCATGTGTGGAGATGTGGGGGCAGTTTTTTTCCCCGTTAATAGGAAAGTTAGTGGAAAGTGGGTAATAAACTGAAGATAGAATTGCCTGATCTTACATCAGACATACTCAAGTGAATACTATCTTGATGGAGCTGAGATGGAGAGCTCTTAGGGTCCCTTTAGAGAGCACTATTGAAAGAAGTGTTTAAAGTATTTATGTAAGCTTTATCATAGTTCTAGTTGGCCTGTATGAAAGGACAAGCAGTGTCCTTTAAAGCATCCAAGCTCTAGTCCTGCTACTGTGTGTGAGACGTCACCCATCTTATACAGACTTTTAGGGAAAAGCCAAGAGTCTTTCATTCAGCTTAATGAAAATATCATTGGAGCAAAAGCAGCAAGTCATTAATTAAGAATGAAAACTTCAGGCCTCCATGATACCTAAAGCACATTAGCATAGCATGAGGCACATCCCTGTGTAAACTGATTTCCCATGGGATAGGCAGGGAATGCTGTTTTTTATGTTAACTATTAGAGAATGAACAAGGCTGGTTGTCAAGACTTTCTCGTCTTTTAAGAGCCACCAGAGTTCTGGAGTTTCCTTTCCCCTCTGTGATACACATGGCTGACGGGCTGGCTTTCTTCAGGACTCCAGATTTGATTTTTTAGTTATTACATATCACATGTGCATCTCTTATCTTCCTCTGCATCTTGTGAACAGCAGATTGGGCAAACTGGCTGAATTAAATTTATTTAAAAAAAAAACAAAAAAAAAACCCCTCAAAACACAGAACGAGATGCCCGTGTATGGTTGGGAATTGAGCAGCCAGTGCATGTTTGAGCACTGATTTCAGTTAATGTCAGCAGAGGGATTCTTGTCTTCCATTTTATTAGGGGACTGCAAACATTATTCGTTGCTTGTAAGACAAAGTTTCTATTTACACTTAATACCAAATTTTGTTCTCGGTTACATATGTATAACTCCTGCTGCAGTCACTATAAGTTAGACCCATGTCACTGAGAGCAGAATTTAGTCCTTAGTGCATAGGAAATATCTGGCTTTATGAGAGCATGGGAGAATTACCTCAGAACAGTAAAACTGTACTGATGTTCCAGGATGTCACCTATTCCATTGTTCTGATATTTGCTTTTCCTGTCCTCCATAGTTCACATTGATGCCATAGAGTAAGGGTCACACTCTATATCTTTACCTACCATCAGTCCTAAACCTCAGTGTCCAAACTGTGGCATGAGGACATCACATTTTGCAAATGGGTGTGGGACGTGCTCTATTACATCATTGACTCTAAGAGAAACACAGTAAAATCAGACATGGGTGGGATTTTCCTTGCTTTGCCCATGACAAATATTTGTTAAAGCAAGCATGCAGCTGAGAGAGAGAAAAAATGTATAACTGTTAATGACAGCAGGCTTGTCCACATCTTAGCCTCTGATCATCTTTATGTGGAGACCTCCCTATGTAATGCTGCCTGCATCAGTGTCTGTTTGCCATATCCCATGTGAACATGCTGTTTAACTGTCAGAAGGCTTTTTATATTTTTTTAGTTTTTATGTTTCACATTCAGGAATTGGCCTGACATATTCCTTTCCCCCGCTCCTCATTTCAGCTCACATGTCCCCTTCTTCATAATGTAAGAATTTTCTTTTCTATTGTGAAAAACATGTCTGAAACTGCTGATTTCTGGAATAACTTAGCTGGGGGGAGTCTTGAATGATACTTGGCCTTGTTTGAAAATAAATGTAGCCTGGTTAGTAATATGCTCAAAGATCGTGTCCAGTGCATGTTAAAGCAGAAGAACTTGGCCCTGTTCAAGTTTAATGTGCAAGCTAAAATAAAATTAACCTTTATTGCTAGTGTGTACAGTAACTCCTCACTTAACATTGTCCTGGTTACGTTGTTTCATTGTTACGCTGCTGATCTATTAGGGAACAAGCTCGTTTAAAGTTGCGCAATGCTCCCTTATAACGTCAATTGGCAGCTGCCTGCTTTGTCCACTGCTTGCAGGATTCTCTGGAAGAGCAGCCCCTCCTTGTGGGATGGGGGGCAGGGGCTGGAAGAGCAGCCCCTGCCCCCCATCAGCTCCCCTAAATTCCCTGCAAGGTATGTGGCTTGGCAGCTGCCCAGCAGCAATTCAGGTGGCCCTCCCACCACTGCCATGCTTCTCCTGACCTGCCCTCTGCCTTGGAGCTGCTCCCTGGAGCTTCTTGCTTGCTGGGGAATGGGGGGAGAGGAGTGCTGATATCAGGATGTCCCCCTGCTCCAGACTCCCTCTCCACAAAGTGGAGGAGGGGGACGGGGCTCAGGAACAGAACGGAGGGAGCTTGCTGGAAGCTGTTGCTTCCTGTCTGAACTGGCTGATCTGCTTAAAAGGGCAACATACTTTAAGTGGAGTCAGCGTACTTAAAGGGGTAATGCACGTTTCTCTCTCTCACTCATGCATGCACCCCTCAGCACTTTGGAAAGTCAGCACCTGTGCAGCTGTGCATGTGCTGTCAGGAGGGAGTGGTGCATTCCAGCTGGATAGCATGAGGTCATCATCATGTTCAGTTTTTGCAGGGAAGTGTTTGCAGCTACTGCCATGCATCTGTTGTGTTTCCTCCCTCCTGCCTCAGTCCATGCTGCCTTGTAGAGTGTGAGGCTACATTAACAACAATGTGTTAACCCTTGAGGGCTCAGCTGAGTGCTAGTTGATCATTTAGCAGCAAGGCATTCCCTGGGAAATATTCCACCCTCTTACTCCACCACCTCAACCAAGCTTCACAATCATTCATTGCTGTGTACAATTTTAAACTGTTTAAAATTGTTTATATACATATACAGTATAAGTTTTAATGTCTTTTGTCTGGCGAAAAAAATTTCCCTGGAACCTAACCCCCCCCCCCATTTACATTAATTCTTATGGGGAAATTGGATTCGCTTAACATAGTTTTGCATAAAGTTGCGTTTTTCAGGAACATAACTACTTTAAGTGAGGAGTTACTGTATTTGAGATGATTATTTATATTGTGGCAGTACCCAAAATGAGGTACTTTCCAAACAGAGAGGAAGATGAAGATTTCCCCCCCAAAAGCTTACAGTTTGAAAACAGTCTTAGAAAGGAGTTAAAGTAAACAAGTTAGATCCCAATCCTGCTTATGCTGAAGTAAATTGGAGTTTAGCAGGTCCTTAGGGCCTGATCTGAGAGCTGCATTAGAGTGAATAGGAATTGCCAGAGTTCAGCACTTGTCAGGGTCAGGTCCTTATTTTGGTCCATTTAAGGTATGACATGCATCTGTTAAATGATCAGGGTGGACCATTTTACACAACGCGTTCTGGAACCACAAAGTATTGCAGCATAGCTTGCCTTTTTTCAGAAACTGATTGCTCTTCCTTCTTCCATATAGGCTGTAAGAATTTCTGGATAGAAATGTGTTCCCTGTCTCAGCAGCGACTAGTTTCCTACCTAGATGATCTTTGGTCCTCCACATGATAAACATTAGTAACAAGTGGATTCTTTGGATCAGAATCTGTGCTAATAGATCTCCCTAGACTCAGTCAAGTATGCATCTAACGTGACATGCGAAATAAATGCATATAAACAGAATTAACTTGCAAGGTGCATGCTAAACCCAGGGATGAAAACAAAATGCTAATTATTTTGCCTCATTTTAGTTGGAAATCTGTGTTTAATCATTCTTCTGGTTCAGATTTATGTCACTAGTGATTCATCATTATCTGTAACACACAAAAGCTTAGATTTTTTTTAACGCCTACAAACTCCCAGGTTTGAACTTGCGTCATTCCTGGGAATTTGCTCGCATTGCAAAAAATCAAAGTGTGTTTTGGAGACACAGGGCGATGGTAGGGCATTGGCTCCAGTATTCATTAACTCTAGTCTGGTTGACATGTTCAAGTTATTAATTGGCCAGGAGATCTGAATCTTTATTCCTGTCTGGTTATTCATGCTTGGCTATTAATTGCTTTATAGCACCATCCTTTTGGATGCTGTATCTATGTTTTTGTAATCAATAAGTATACACTGAAATTGCAAACGTCTTTCACCAACCCAATGAATATATTCTTGTATTAAATTGTTGTTTCTAAAAAGTACAGTTCTATAGGACATACTTCAGCTCACCAGGATACCAAACTGTATAACTATAAACTCACGGAGGAAAAGTTAAGGTGACACATTGTTTTTGTTGGAATGTAATATACAATATGTCGCTCCAACATAATGAATCAACTTTATACAAGAACAAGACAACATAGATAAATGCAAGCTAGCAAGAGAGCCTTTTTTTAAATTACAAAAATATAAAGAAAGCAGCACTACAATTTCTACCATTGCCAATGTGAGAATAAATCATCGAGCAAAGGGATAGCTACAGAAAGTCTCACAGAGAGAGCAACAAAAAGACAACATGCCACAGAGTCATTCAATAGGGTGTACAGTTAGGAGAGGACATTATATTAGCTGTCAGCAGAGAGGCTGCTGGAACTCAGAACAAAGCAAAAGAACTAAACATAAGAACTGTAGGAGCTCCAGATTGCATCAGGACCAGCTGAAAGAATTATCTTGCACCAGAATGTATTTATATGACACTGGAACATACAATGTAGTTAATTTGCGAGCAGTCCCCCCAAAAGGCTATGGAGAAATCATATTAAAAACATGTTCTGCAACTGTCTTTTTGCAGGGACCACATGCAGTGGTCACAAGAGGAAGAAGAAAGGGCCAGAGAAAAAGCAACAGAGAACTCGCTTGTGCGGGTTCAACCAGAAGATCAAGGTAATGGACCCATAATTCCTAAGAAGTTCTAATGCTCCAAGAATGCTCTTTTTTTATTTATATTTTTTCCTTGATTAAATCCACTTTTTTATCATTTACCTTTGTCTTATTAACCACGACAAACTTGTCCAAAAGCATTCACCTTTACCTAACTATTCAATTATCCTTTAAGTATTTTCCCTTTCTCCAGGGCAACAGGTGTCAGCCTAATATGATGAAATCTGCAAATTGCGATTTCCAGAGTTGTGAATCCTAACCTTTACAATGCTTCAAATTAAAGCCCCCATTGTTGCTTATGCTGTCACCATAGGGAAAGGGAGTGAATTTGCAATCATTGGGGGTGATGAAATCTAAAGTTCTCATGTAAAATTTTCACATTTGCTTTTTAATTTGGTTGCAGATCAGCTTAGTGGGCTAGTGGATGTGCATAGTGCTGTCTCTCAGGAGATCTGAGATGGATTTCTGGTCCCAGCTTTATGCCGTAGGCAGCTTGAGCTAGAAATGCTTTAGAGACATTGTGCTGGGCAGAAGGTGTTTTCTCATATCATTCAAAGGTGACTCCTGTGAACTAAGGGGTTTCCTTGGCTGGCTATATATTCCCTCTTTCAGAAGGATGGTGAATTAGGGGAGTAAAGGAATTAAAATGTTCAGGGCTTTGCCCTGTCTGTAGAATACCTTCTTAAGGAAGTAAGCAAAGAGTGTGACACATACACACTGGTGGTAGCATCATAGTGGAATTTCTACTCACAGTTGGATCTCACTGAATTCATATCCCGAATGATCCTGTTACCCATAATTGAAAACTAGCACTCCTCTGCACACATGCACATACCACAGAGTTTCTGAACCATTGGCATGCAGGAGGAGAGTAAGGCAGATTACACTGCATATTTTGATGAAAAAATCAGCAATATAGATTATTGCAGTACCTGGCGAAATGGATAGTGTTGATTGGGGCAATTGGAGGGAGGTCTCCATGTACAAGAAATCCAGAATCCTGTGTGTGTTCTGTTTGGTTTTTGTACATTCCCAGAACTGGGGCATTAAATCTATCGCTGCATTAATCTTGGAGGCCAATAATCTTTCTATTATTAGAAGGATATTCTGAAAACAGTTATTTTTGTGTGCATTAAGGTAACAATGGGGGTTGCAGGTCTTGAACTTTGTCAAACTAGACTGTGTCATTATATTGGAGTGTGTTTGAATTACCCATGAATACTTCTTCTGTAATGTGCTCTTCATCGCTTTTAATACCTTGTGATTGAGGCTTTTTTTCTGACACTTATTTCTTTGTCGCATAATACCTTGAGAATAGGGCATGCTTTCCCGTCATGGTTAATGGGAGTGATTGTCTGCACACCAGACTGAAAAATGTCTCTATTCTAGGGCCTTCCTGTCATCCTGCTCTTTTACATTCTCTCCATTCTCTCATTCTTTATCTAAATCCACAAAGATAATGTTTATCTTTTAAACTTCACATTTAATATTTTCATCTATTTATTGAAAACCGTTGAAAATGAGCCCCTGGTTGAAAACTTAACTGTGTACACATGTGGTTGATGTGACATTCTTACTTATCATCTAAAGTCAATTATAATTTAGTTTGCACTTGCTAGAAATAAAATGAGCATGCATTTGCTTATTGCCAAGAAATGTAAGAATCCAAGGACATTTTCTATGAATGTCGCTCTGTTTAAAACTTGAATTAGACGAGCATTGCCAGTAATATTTTTCCAAAAACTCCAGCTTGGTTCTGCAAGTGGGATCACATTTTGGCCTATTTATATTAACAATGAACTAGACTGAAGCTAATGAGCAGGTCTTTTGGTGCCTTGGACACTGCAGTAAGGAAAAAAAAAATGAGTTTCCCACAATACTGTAATATCACTAAAATAAAATAGCTGTGACAAGCCTCAGTACAACCAGGAAATGCAAAACTGAATGGACTGATGATACCACTTTGGAGCATTTGGTTTGCTTATTAGCATGTTCAGCTTCTTCTCAAGAAGGGCTACAGGCTGTGGCAGAGCAACTGCACAAAAGAGTCCATTAAAAAATGAGGCAAAGTAACCAATTTCTGCAGGATCCTAGTTTCAGAAGCTCAGTGCACCACTGAGCTGTGTGCCTTCCCAGGTTTTGGAAACTGCTACAATTGGGCAGCTTAATAAAATAAACAGAAGCGAATAAAAAACATGATCCAGGAGCTAGGCTGACTGACATGTCTTACTTATGAAATTTTCAGAGATTAAGAAAGGAAAGTTAATAATTCAATTACATTGGAAACTGCATTACCTGTCTCTGCGCCTGAACCACAAAGAGAGACAGTCGCGCAGGAGCATTGTAGGTTGAATTTGATGAGTAATGCATGCTTTTCCGATCAATTTATAAAGAAATTGTTAAATGAGTTAATTTAATAATGATGGGTTCTGTCATATTGATAGGAAAACTAATTGACAATAACACAATGCAGTGAAAGATGGATGTTAAAAAAAAAAAAAAAAAAAAAAAAAAAAAACTGCCCAACAAACTAGTGTTACTACTGAACCTGAATTTTAAAGGCTTTAATTTTAAGCATTGTGCTCCTGTATTAAACAAGCTATCAAATCTAGAAATCGTATAGGGAAGTTAAATGCAAGGTTTTTTAATTGTGTTTTGATCAGACATTTAGGAAAAACTGTGAATCTAACAAAGAGATGAAAGTAATTTAAGACTCTTTTGAGAAGGAGGCTTGGTTTTGCATTTTTATCATCAAGTATCTATACAAGTGTGACAGACTTTTGAAATCCAGTATGTATTACCTCAGTTAACTCTGTACTTGCAGTGTAAAACAACTCTGCACCATTACTGAGCATGACTGGGTCTTGCCCTTTAATAAAGAATTATGCAGATCTCTACTACACGGTATTCTGTCACCCCATTGGCACGTCTCACTACCTCTCCTAATCCAAACATCTCTAATGGCTGTTCTCAGCTTTATTTAACTTTGAAAAATTGGAGTGATTGTAGGCAATTTTGTTTTAAGATACAAAGGAAAATGACAGGAGAAATGTGATATAGAACTAGTGGCCCTGTATGTATTGTGACAAAGTTCTTCCTCTATCTTGGTGGGTCCTGCGCTTATTGGCGGATTTTCTTGCCTCAGAGATTCACCATGTGGGTTGGGGAACAGCCCAGAGACCTTCCCCTCTGGAAGAACCCACAGTCCAGGTCAATTGGGAGGTTTGGGGGGAACCCGGGCACACCTTCTACTCCGGGTTCCAGCCCAGGGCCCTGTGGACTGCAGCTGTCTATAGTGCTTCCTGTAACAGCTGCATGACAACTACAACTCCCTGGGCTACTTCCCCATGGCCTCCTCCAAACACCTTCCTTATTCTCGCCACAGGACCTTCCTCCTGGTGTCTGATAACGCTTGTGCTCCTCAGTCCTCCAGCAGCACACCTTCTCACTCTCAACTCCTTGCGCCTCTTGCTCCCAGCTCCTCACACTAGCACCACAAACTGAAGTGAGCTCCTTTTTAAAACCCAGATGCTCTGATTAGCCTGCCTTAATTGATTCTAGCAGCTTCTTCTTAATTGGCTCCAGGTGTCCTAATTAGCCTGCCTGCCTTAACTGGTTCTAGCAGGTTCCTGATTACTCTAGTGCAGCCCCTGCTCTGGTCACTCAGGGAACAGAAAACTACTCATCCAGTGACCAGTATATTTGCCCTCTACCAGACTCCTGTACCCCACTGGTCTGGGTCTGTCACAGTATATATTGTATGGAATAGTTGTTAAATCATGTACTAGATATTAAATAAATTGACTGAGAAATCAGAATTCATGAGCACAAAGGGCCAGTTTTTAGCAGATCTCTTTAAAGGGTTTGCAAAGTAAACAAGCATTCCTGTTACCCCTGCACATGTTATAATTTTCTATAGCACATCAGTAGTATGGTTAAAAGAGTATGGGCTGCTATTGGCCACATGCAGTAACACCGATCAGTGAATATGGCTCTGAAGGAGTGGATTTCTAATAGCATATATTTAGAGAGAGAACTGCAGTTAGCAAAACATTTGCAGTTGTTCATATAAATTCATAAGTCATGATAGAGTATTAATTTCAATTTCATGTCCCTTAATTTAGGGGAAAGAGCAGAGAAAGCTTAACTAAAATGATGCATTGCTTTTATAATTTGGCTTATGGCTTTATTATTTCCTGAACAATGTACAGGTGCATGTGTCTGTATGTGTGTGTATAGGTGTACGTGAGCTGTTACAGTAGATGAAAGCAGGTTTGCAAATTTGCGTATTACACATCCATAGGTATTTAGATTCTTTTATAATATTGCTTATGGATTTTTGGATGGGACAATATTAGAACCATGGGACCAAATTTAGTGCAGTTGCATCAGCTTACACCAGGGATATTTATTTTTGGCCTCCTAACTAATATTTTATCCTAATGTTCTAATATTTGCTTGGTAATTTTGCATGTAATAACTTTGTCTGCAATATAGCTGTACACATGGATTTTGCAAACCCATTTCTAGAGGCTCATAAATCTTTCCCTATAGTTAGTTAATATAAATTAAATATATCGCTTATTTATAAAAATGGAAGTATTTAGAGTTGGTTTATATGAAATAAAACTTAGGTAAGCAGGTTATTGTGCATTTTGGTGACATTCTCCTTGTGCATGATTGAACAAAAACAGAATGAAAGATGTAGAAAGCCTGTTCTTATAGTCTTTATGCAGGTAAAATCCTTTTTAAATGCAGTAGTAGTTTTCCTTGAACACAGGTGAAAGGACTGGGCCATAAGACTTGATATTTGATTTAAACAACACCATGTGGAGAGCATCAAATTTCTTAACCTTTATCTCTGTTATTATCTAGTTTCATTTTTAAATGTCATATTGTTTTATGATGACAATTAAGTGCCCATTTTTTTAATTCCAGACAAATATGAAAGAGAAGCTAGTAAATACTGGAATGAATTTTACAACACTCATAAGAATAACTTTTTCAAGGATCGTAATTGGCTGTTTCTGGAGTTTCCAGAAATTCTTCCAAAAGGAAGGAAAAATCAGATGAATAAAGAGGAAAAACCTTCTTATCCTGTAAAACTGAATGCTACAAACAGTTGCACAAATGTGGGCTTTCCTGGAATGTTTGAAGAAGGCAAAGATTATTGCCAGAACAATTTGGTGGATGGCTTAACTTCTGTGGAAGGACACTCATACAACAAAAACCAAGCAGAACCTGTTACTGACAACAAACATGTTAAGAACTGTGAACAAGAACCTGTGAAGCAAGAATCCTTCCCTGGCAGTGGTGCTACTTACAGAATGCTAGAGGTATTTTACTGCAGATATTCAACACATAATTTACAACTCCAAACGATGGCTTCAAATATAACAGTTGCTTAATATTTATCAAGGCAACAACTATTCAGAGTTCACAACACTACTTTTGCCTTGTTCCTGAAATTTTCAGAGGGATTTAAGAAAATTAGATGCCCAGTTCCCATTGAAAGTCATTGGGAGTTGTACTTCTAATTCCCTTAGGCCTATCTGAAAATCCCAGTTTAAAATATTTTGCTCTGTCTAAACCAATGCTGTGAGACAAAATAGCAAAATTGTACAAGAAAACTACAGTTTCCTGTGAAGTTGCCCCTGGGAGAAAGTATAGGACCTGATCCTGGTCCATAAGTATAGCGGAAGAGTCAGTGCTTCTGAGAGTTGTGGTGTAAGGAGCAATAAAGCCATTTACCCCTTTTTTGCTTCTTTAACCTCTGTAATGGTTTCAGTTAATTTGGGACTAAAACCCTGAGATACAGGGTTTATTTGATGGTTTAGTTAAATTTTTGTTTCTGCTTTAATTCCAGGTTGGTTGTGGTGCTGGAAACAGTGCTTTTCCTATTTTGAAAGTTATATGGTAAGCAGTGTCAGTCCCCCCAAATACATGCCCAACATGAATGAAAAAAAAGTTTTAAGCTAGTCTTATGCTGTGAGAAATGCTGGATTGACAGTCCTAGACACCAGCGTCTTCTAGTTACCCACAGAACAGGGACAATGTGGCAGTAGCTATGCAAGTTGTTCCCCATGGTGCTGAGCCAGTTATTCGGCTTTGATTTAGAAGGGAAAACATCTGGTGTTGAGGCGGTAGGTCAGTCTTCAGGCTCATTCATGCCAACTGCTAACAAAAGTGTCTGTCGCGTGTGTTAGTTTGGGTGTTTACACCAGTCTAGTGGCACCGGCCTGAGACCACCAATACTTGTCATACAGGTCACTAAACAGCCATCAGATAGTATCAACTTCTGGTTCCAAATTCAGAAGTGACATAAGGGGTCAAAGATAGCACTCATAACTTCTTGCCAATGTGGTAATATACACCACCATTTCTGTCACCTCTGAATTTGGTCCATATTCTCGATTAAAGCAGCTCAAGTTTTAGTGACACAGAGACCCAAAGTTCCATGTTGCATTACTTAATCCCTTGAACCCTCCATCCCATCCCATCCACATAGCTTTTGTCTTTAGAAGGAAGTGTTGTGAGAGAATGTTCTCCTTTCCATGCATGTTCTTCGCTTTCACTGGAAACGATGTCCACACACCAGGGGAAGGGACAGACTCTTCTCTGCTCTTATCTCTGAAACTTGTGTGCAACACACTAATTGTTATTCTGCAGCCCAATACTAATAATTTGCACTTTTGTAGTGACTTCAGTCCACTCCACAGACATTTGTTAGCCACAGCATTCCTGTGGTATAAGCACTATTGTGTCCATTTCACAGATGTGGGAATTCAGATACAGAGAGATTCAGGGCAGCTGGGAGCATGCTTCCCAGCCCAGGGAGACATACACACACTAGCTCTGCTCTAGATAGCATGGTAAAAATAGCAGGGTGGCCACTGTGGCACAGGTAGTGGCTCAGGCTAGCTGCGCGAATACAAACTGGCAGACCCCTGGGTACATACGAGGGTAGCCTGAGCTGTCACCACACTGCTTGTGGCTCGAGCAGAGCTGGTGTGTGTCTGTCTGCCCGCCCACACTGGGAAGCACCTTCCCAGCTGCTATGTAGACACACCCAAAGTGGTGTGCCAAGGTCACACAGGAAGTGTGTTGCAGTGTTAGCAAAAGAATCCAGTCTCCAAACTACCAGGCCTTAACCCTGAAACAATCCTTCTCCCCTAAACGTCAGATTATATTGTGAAAGGAGAAACCCGCATTATCAATGAAAACAACAGAAAGTAGTGTTGTGTGGGAGAAAAGACATTATTAGGTATGTATATGGGGAAAAACTCAAACTGGTGTGCATTATACAGGAAGCATTATTTGTACTGCAAAAGTTGTTATAATTAAGAGTCCTCCTATTAATCAGTATTTTACTCCGTGATCTCAGTTTGTATGCAAATCCTGCATGTGACCTGATAGGTGCGTTAACTACATAGTATTTAGCATTTAAAACACAGAGGTGTAACTGAAGTCTGAATGCAGTTAAGAATACATTGCAGTTAAGAATATGCATTGATTTCATATTTGAATTGATGGAAACATCTCTTATCTATTGGAAGGCACATCTTGTATCTAAGTACAATTCACACTATATTTGGCAATGTAAAATTGCCTTTTGTTTGCACAAAAGAATAGTAATACAATGTAGATTCACACTGTGCTTGAAAGAAAACCTTCCCTTTTCTGTGGAATATTTTTTAATTTTTTTTAATGATCCAAAATTAAAAATAAAAAGGGATGGTATTTGACACAGTTAGTGCTTAGAGTTGCCAGGCATCTGGTTTTTGACCGGAACGCCTGGTTGAAAAGGGACCCTGGTGGCTCCGGTCAGCACCGCTGACCAGGTCGTTAAAAGTCCGGGCGGTGGTGCAGTGGGGCTAAGGCAGTCTCCGTGCCTGCCCCGGCTCTGTGCAGCTCCCGGAAGCGGCTGGCGTTTCCCTCCGTCCCGTAGGTGCAGGGGCGATCAGGGAAGCTCCGCTTACTGCTGCTCCTGCCCCCGGTGCCGGCTCCTCAGCTTCCATTGGCCGCAGTTCACAGCCAATGAGAGCTGCAGTGGCGGTGCCTGTGGGTAGCGCACACCACGCAGAGCTGCCTGGCCACGCCTCAGCCTAGGGGCCAGACATGCTGGCCGTGAAATAACTGTCCAGACCAGAACTATCCCTGTTGTTTGACAGAGGCTTTTCATGCAGTTCGCTTCCCACTTTGTGAGAAGAGAACAGCTGTTTATACACCTTGGTGAGTCAATTGGATAAGTAGGACTAGGTCAGTCAAAAACCCAGCTGCTTACCCTCAGTCATGCTAGGGGTTCCAGGTTAGACAAGATCTCACATCCAGTCTCGGACCTGTAATTCCATTGGTTGCCTGAATACATCTCTTAAGTATTCATAGGGCTGATGAGGGTTTTGCTCAGTAGTGAGATCAAGATCGGCTGCTCTTGGTCCAAGAGGGTTCTCCTGCTCAGCCCCCTTAGAGCTGGGTATACAGCAGAATCTGCTGGGCACAGGGACACATTTTCTCTTTGATGAGACTTCCTTTCCAAACTCTCCAGCACTTTAGGAGAGATGGTTTTTCTGAGGGCTAATCCTGTTCCTTAATTAGTGGGACTGCTGCTTCACTCGCCCTCATTTACATTGATTGTTGAAGAGTTGAAAAAATCCTGCCCTGGGTTCCTGACATCTGATGTTTTGATGTGAGGAAAATTTGCAACTGGCTTTGCAGTGAATGTGAGGGGAAGGGAAGCTAGCACTACAGGAAACCGACATGTATTTTGATGAAAAAAGGCCCAGGGTAATGGAAGGAAACAATCAAAACCACATAATCTGATTACAGCCAGCACAAATGACACCTGGGAACCCAAACGTCTTCAGAACAGTTAATAACTGTTAAGTAATTTCCTCCGTTGAAGCTGAAATAAATATTTTTCATGTTGCTAATTAAATTACATGCATAGGCCAGTGCCAGAAAATCTCTGAGTGGAGTTGCAGAAACCCACAAAATGATTTCAGAGTGAAATTGTGACCCATTATTGCATATTGATGCAATGCAGCACCTGGGCATCGTCACAAGTATTTGATGGCTCTCTGTGACTCCATCCAGTCTTGTCTTCCTTCTCTTGCTTTCCACTTACTTTCTTCCTAGCTTGGTGTCCCCCCCTCCCAATTCCCACCCCACGAACTGTTGGCAGATATTCCTATAGCTCTGGCCTGTTTGCTTAGTGCTGGACAATATAAAGCATGTTGCTGAGACCAGTGAAAGGGATTTTGATCAAACCTGTGGAGTGCCCCAAAGAGCTGCATGTGGTTAGTACAATAGCAGTTCTTTAATTCATGTTTGTTTTGTGTTCATAGCAATACCCCTGGAGCCTTTCTGTACTGCTGTGATTTTGCGTCGGGAGCAGTGGAGCTAGTAAAGGTATTTCAAGTCTTCACTTTAGAAAGCGTGGTGTACCCATGAGCCTGTCATTCAGAAAGCTGCAAGGAGGCCATTCTTGTGAAATGGAGCACAATGGCTTTGACAACTTTGAACTGGAGTTTTTAATACTCCAAAGAACAAAGTCCTTCTCTGCAGAGAGAGGAACGAATGCCGCCAGTGGGCCTGTCTCTCGCCCTGAGCAAGATCCCAGAACAGAATCAGCTTTATGAGAAATGTTTTACAAAACTGAATAATCGAAAAAACGTTTCTTGGGTCATGGTAAATTGACTGACTACTACTGTTCTCTCTGTGTTTCTCTTAATCTGTATCATTACAGTCACACTTGTCCTACAATTCAGCCTGGTGTTCTGCCTTTGTTCATGATGTGTGTGATGATTCCTTACCCTACCCTTTTCCAGATGAGATCCAGGATGTCATTCTCCTTGTCTTTGTGCTCTCTGCCATTCATCCTGACAGGTAAATGAAGACTAAAGGGCAAAGCAAATGTGTTAAAGCTCTTTTATCACTAGTGGTTTTCAAGAATATCAAAGTGAGATGATGAATCTTGAATTTATTATTTAGTAAGCTACATTATGTATAATGCAGGACATTTTAAATGCCGCTTTCCCCTTTTCGGAATCTAAGAGAGAAGCTGGTCAAACTACTTCATTAGTGAGTCTCCTGTCACCATCAAAATGAAATGAACCTCTTCTTGCAAGACATATACCTATTAAAAGTGACAGTGCTTCAAGAAAGTTACAAATTCAGAAACAGGCTACTAGTCTCCCAGAGGGAAATTATTCTTGGTGATCAAAAACAAATATCTGTGATTTAGCAACTTACAACATGTTGATAAAGACCCAGGCTACGATTCATTAGTTGCACACAACTGCATACATATTGGCCTCTTATGAAGAAGATCACTTAAGAGTACCTGGCTTGTTTGGATTAGGCAAATTAATCTAATTTGCACTATATTGGGTTGGGAGCTATTAGCTTTATTACTGAAGCAACTCTCAATATCTAAAGAACCAGCTAACACTGACAAATTTTGAAAGAATATTCTTTCTCATGGGGAAAAATACAAAAGGGTATATATTATTCACGCTTACTACTCAACTGCTCCTTTAACCAGATTGTACAAAAGGAAATGCATATTGCACATGTAATGGTAAGTGTGTTGTTTTAAAAACTGCATTAAATATGGACATCCATGCTCAGCAAACATTAGAACAGTACTCACCTGAGTCAGTTTTACATTTGAGGACTGTTTTCTTGCCTGAATGGCTGAGTTATTAATCATTAGCTTTTGCAGAAACTCGATCTTTCCCAGAAAGCATATCTGTCCTTCCTGTTTGTGCAAAGATGAGCATATGAGTCATGTGCAGAAGAGCGTTTTGCTAAGCCTGGGTGCAGATTCCAAACACAATTCAGACAGTAGATTGAAATTTGTGTAAGTGCAGCAATGCAGTGGGGAGGATACCAGGCAAAATATATTTTTATCACACCTTTTGTCTATGGGAGAAATGATAAAATGCTCACAGACAAAATTTCTGAGAGTGTTTTTCCCAGTGACCCTTAAGAATACAATTCCCCTCCCCCGCCACCAAGATTAGCCAAATGAATGCTGACATGGGCATTTATATGTGTATATGCATACAGATTTTTGTGTGTAGATTCCTATGCAGTATAATCCAGTCTCCAAAAGTTTAAGTACTAAAAGATACTTTCTTCATTACAATATCCCCAAGAAATAAAGTGGTTGCATAAAAAAATTGTAATCTAGACCCTTGTTGATTTTTATAACAATTGTCTAACAGCTTGAAATATAAGAAATGAGAAGGAAAACCAAGAGAATGATAATGCAGAGCCTTAAATAAAACACTTGGGTGCCTGGGAAATGTAAGTTTCTGGGATGTATACATTCTCATTCAGCACCTTTGTTGTTAGCTATTGTGTTCTCGTTTTGACAGTTGCTGTTCTTTTACTTTATAAAGCAATGCTCTTCTTTTCTGCTAGCAGACCCCTTTTGAAATTATGTTGTTCTCAAAAACAAGCTAATTTGGAAGCCATTAACCTTTCTCCATGCCATGTGGTATTTATACTGGACCAAATTTTCAAAGGGTTCCTACTTCATGTGCGTGTAGAATTTGTCAATATCCCCATGTGAGTGCACAGAACACACATTTTCATGTGCGGAGTTTCTAATTCTGTGCCCACCTATTTGCTCTGAGAACTCTTATGCCCGTTTGTACATGCAGCTGCCCCTTTTTTGCTTGGGCAAAAACGTGCAAATTTTGTGTATGAACAAAACAGAGGCCCTTTAAATGTTTGTCTTCCTCTATTTCTGAATTTAAGCACAGGATTTCATTTCTTTTTGAATGGTTTTTCTTAGGTCATAATTCTCCTTTTCTGCTTAGTTAAGGCCTCATCCTGCACCTTCAAAGTCAGTGGGAGCAAGACTGGGCTTCTGCTCTCTTGCTAGATTGTGCTTCTAGGGTTAGCCTTAAGCATGAGCCAGTGTGTGAGCTGGGGGAGGAGCCCAGGAGGCATTGTACCTCAGAGACACCTCTTGGAAGTGCGGTGCCTCAATGCTCATATCTTGTATTAGAGGAGGATGTATCTCACAACAGCTCTTTTCAGGGTGCAGCATACTCGCTCCTCCCCCACTTAGCACCCAGCCAGGTCCGCTGGCTGGCTGGTAGGAGGAGTAGAGCCATTGCTTCCGCACTCTTTATCCACTTGCTTGTGGGATGGAGGGGAGTGTCAGGAATGAAGCTACTGCCCTGACCCCGTGCCAGGAGCTGTGTTGTGAGAGAGTCTTCTGTGGCCCTGCAGGGGTGTAGGTAACTTTACCCCGTGCAGCTGTGGAAGACCAGGGCACAGTTGAGCCCTAAATGATGAGTGTTTTACATTTTAATCTAAGGCTTGCTCAATTTTAAACTCCTGTCAGATTACACATGCCTTGCAGAACACACAGTCCTTCTAAGAAAAAACGAGGCATCCTTGTGGCACCTTAGAGACTAACAAATTTATTTGGGCATAAACTTGGAGTGAAAGATACAGTAAGCATATTCTGCATGTTCACTCCATGCATCTGATGAAGTGGGTTTTAGCCCACGAAAGCTTGTGCCCAAATAAATTTGTTAGTCTCTAAGGTGCCACAAGGACTCCGTGTTGTTTTTGCTGATACAGACTAACACGGCTACCGCTCTGAGTCCTTCTAAAGTGGTACTAACAGAATAACAAGCGGGAATCAAGGTAAACTGGCCAAAGAAAGGAGAGAGGAGAACAAAGAGCCTTTTCATGAGCGTGGCATTTACTCCTACAGTAAATGCAAATGGTTCGGTGATCTTTGGTAAGGGTAGATTAATGCTAGACAAGGCCCAGATCCACCAAAATTTCAGGGCTTCAGAGGATGCTAGACTTTTCCCCTCTCTGCTTCCTGCCAGTATCTTCAGACAAGTTTCTCCTACCAAATTCCCCTCCATCGACAGATCTCAAACTCTTCCTTTTATTCCCCTAGGATAGACACTCGTAGTCCGCTGTTGTGTGTATGGTATAAATACCTAGATAGATAGCTGGATTAGAGAGAGAGCTACTTGTCTGCCTCTTGCTCCACAGTCTTTGATCTTCCTGCCAAAAGAGACAGCCCGATTCACCCTATCCTAGCTGGTAGCCCAACCCATCCTACCTTGGTAGCCGGCTGTTCTTTCAGCTGTATGCCACGCAACTGCCTGCTGCTTTACCTGTAACTCACTGCAGGTCCAGGCTTCCTCTGATCATGAGGGATTGGATCTCAAGAATCTTACTTTAATCCATTCTTGATATTTTGCTACAGAGGAGGAAAGGACTCATTCCCTCTCCCCCCCTTTTTATATTATTTAATAAAAGTTCCTTTTGCATTTTTGTGCCTTTGCATCTTTGTAAAAAAAAAAAAATTGTTCTTCCTACTAAAGCTGTTTGTTAGTGTCTGGCATTTTTACGTGATTGAAGACAGTCCCTTCTCACTGAGACCTCAAAAACAACATGTTGAACCTAGTGACAAGAGAAAAGCAATGTTTGGAGTTACACCAGTGTCACATTTTATTTTCTAAGGATGCAAGGAGTTGTAAGTAGACTGGCCAAATTATTGAAACCTGGAGGGATGTTGTTATTTCGAGACTACGGAAGATACGATACATCTCAGCTTCGTTTTAAAAAAGGTATTTCCTAAGAGACATTTGTTTGTTTAGTATTTATTTTTCACTTTGCATATCTTTTAAAGGGACAGCACAGTCATTCTATTCACAATTTTTATCTTTTAGGCCGCTGCTTGTCAGAGAATTTTTATGTACGAGGAGACGGTACCAGAGTTTATTTCTTTACAGAAGGTAAAACAAATTTCAGTTTTATAGAAAAGTTCTGAGTGTCTCTTTAGATGACATGGGGTACAAAGCCTCTTAAAAAGCCATGTAAGTAATTTTCATACCCCTTTAACTCTCCATTTTTCAAAAACAAGAAGCTAATTTTTGTGGAAGATCTTTTCTTTACCAGCATCAGACTTTGATTCCCTTCCTCAGCTGTGTCATTGAAGCTGAAGTTATCATACTTCAACTATTTTAATTTAACAGTAGTTTGAGTGCCTCTTTACCCTTTATAAATAAGTTACCTCTGCACTAGCATCATTGCTTTATATCTGTCGCTATATCAGATTAATGAATGACAGCTACAGAGTTGGCAGAGGGAGCACACAATTGTTTTTATGGGACCAGTAAAAAGTGTATAGTCCATTTTTTCCATTTTCTTCTTTTTAAATTCTTAGGACTGGGTTGATCAATTTTAGCAAGAAGTAGGTCTATACTGGGAGGAGTTTCCTACTGGAGATTAGCAGTTTTAACTAATTAGGTACCTTTATGATAATTCTTGGGGTATCCAGGACTATGAGTCACCTAGTTACCTCCCTGCCTCCAGTGAGAGGGAGAATTGCTTGTGCTTAACTCTCAGTTCCCTGACACCTCCAGTCTGTTAACCACCCCAACAATCTCCTCTGGGCTCTGCCAGCCCTGACTTTGCCTTGCAGGTTAACCATAGGTGCACACGAGTCCTTGATCCCCTTTGAAGCATTCCCCTGTAGTGTTCAACCCCTTATCTACTGAACACCCATAGTAACACCAGACCTGCTGTCCCCAAGGAACAGTGTGCACACCAGCTTGAATGATTCAACTCAGGATCATCTCCTTGTACAACACCACAGCACTGAGATTTATTTATAGTGAAAACAATAATAAGTTTATTATCAGCAATCAAGATTTAAGAGGTAGTGAGTAAGTATAATGGAAACAGATGGGTTATATAAAACAAAATCATAATACAATCCACAGAGACTAAATTTAATAGGCTAATCTCCAATCTAAATAAGTTTGTCTCATCCAGATGTCCTCTGCAGTGCTTCAACCAAGCCTGGTTGTGATCCATTTTCATGAATGCAATAGCACTGCTCGATGACTTCCTAGGTGTAGGATAAAGGGTGTCTTCCTTGCTTTCATTTTATATTCCCTAAAGTTCATTGCCTGTACCTCCAGAATCTGGCCAATCCCCACCGTAGGTTATTCTCAGGTGCAATGTCTTCCTGCTGACTTCATATTTCCCCTCTGACTTTGTAAATGACTTCCCTTTGTGTTAACTTATAGTGCTTAATTTGCACGCAGACCTACAGAGACAGGTGAATAAACATCCTTTCTCTGACAGAAACCTGTTTGTCAACTCTGCCTTAATACAGACTTGAGGAACATATTTTTAGTATACATACAAAACTCCTTACATAGTATTTGTACATACCTTGTACAACAATATTAATGACCAGCGTAACCCTGGCTTTCGTTTAAGACCTCACATGATATTCTTTGGTAAACCAGAATGTACATACCATTATCAGGATATTCCTGTAACTCCCTTGCCAGTTGGCACTGAGGGGTTTATGGGTCACAACCTTCGACCTACTTTTGATAGCATCTGCAATTTTACACAGGATTTAGCTCTGACTTGCATGGTGCTAGCTCCTGATTAACAAGGGCATGAGATCTAAAATCAGATCTCTTAAAGAAATACCATTAAGCATCTAAACAGTGGTTCTTAGGAGCTGATTGTGTTCCCATGACCCATACATAGAGCAGTCTCAGTATGTGGCTCTTCCCCCTCCCATGGGTCTGGGGACATTCAAGTTTTACTGGAATTTTACTACATTTTGAGACCTCTGAAGAGTCTCACCTCTAATGCTTTCTTAAAGATCCTTCCTACTGTGAAAGAGATGTTTGAAATATCATTTATACTTGAAGTAAACATGCTGGGCCAGATAATGGACTGGAGAGCATGTGCTGGTGCTTTACTTCTGGCAGATCCTGACTGTCTCTGGCAGGTATCTCTGGCTTGAGTAGAATCACCCATGGCTCTGTGAATGACTGTTGGCCTCTTAGGGCTGCTAGCAACGAGCAAAACCTGGCATAGGAACACTGGCCCTACATCCAGCAGCCAAGGATTTGGGGAACGCAAAGGGGAGTTTTATGCTGCCTATACCTCCCTGGCCTGCACTGTGTGCAGTACAGCTAGAGCCAAGGGTCTGGCCTGACATCTGTGTAATATGAGACTGGGGAAGTGAGTAGGAGGGATTAAGATATTAGCTATGGGGATGGGGGGGGGGGGTAGGGGGAACCCAAACATGCCAAGGGATCTCTTAATCCTTAGCAGAAAATGGGGAGTGCCTACTGTGGTAAATTCTGGCTCCATTTATACAGCTTATAAAATCTGGTTGCTATGGTGAAGTTGTGTTATTAAAAACTGCTGGGTCATGAGTGCCTGTATGTATGTGGATCCACCATTGCTGACAGATCCTGTAGCAGGTACACATGTGAGAGTAACACTGGGGAATATTTAATGTTAATGATGGCACTTTGACTACAGAGGCTATTCTAAAAAGCAGCTGCATCCTTAGAAAAACAGTTTTAGCTTCACCCCTTGGAGGTAGGAGCAGTGAAAAGTGACATAAAGCACAGAACAAAAGAGGGGGAGGGGATTTAAATAGCAAGCCACACAGGAACAGAGAGGTCCAGATAGGAAAAGAAAGCATGAGATAGGAGGCAGCAAAGTCATCCAGCATGTAGCAGCCTCATGGGGGCAGTGGAGCTCTGCCCACTTATCTGAGCCCAGATGGCCCCAAGGACTCTGGACAACCCAAGGGACTCCCCAGTGCAAAGAATGCCCTGTAGTGGGAAGGAAATTGCGGCAGGGTGTGTGGTGTTCTTTGTTTTGTATGAGCTGTACTCCCTTTATTTTCTATGTGATTAACTATAAAAGAGTATTAATGTGTTAGACTTTGTGCAAAGTGTATGTTTGTGTTAACTGCTTCACAACTGCTGTGTGCCCTTGAGGAAGTTAAACTTTAATCAGAAGCTTCAGACCTTTAAGATGGAGTTCACAGGATGGGGTGCTAGGCAGCAGGTCTGTGCTCTGAGGCTTCATCTACACTACACACCACTGCCTGTGGCATGTAGCAACCTTCCTCAGCAAAAAGCAAGCTGCGTTCACGCTGCCGTGTGTAGCTACGAGTCTCAATGAAAGGCTGTGGCAGAGAGGAGGCAGCAAGGAAAACTCCCTGCTGTCGGAGCCCTTCACTACAGCAAGGAAAGGCTCTGGCAGGGGGGAGGCATTGAGAAAAGGTTCTGTCAGAGCTTTTCCTCCCTTCTGAAGTCTTTCTCTACTGTGGGGAAGGCTCCAGCAGCGGGGAACTGGCAAAGCCTTTCCTTGCTGCTGGAGCCTTTCATGGCGGTGGGGCCTTTCCCTGCTGCCTCCCCCCTGCCAGAACCTTTCCTCATCTCATGGAAGAGACTCTGGCAGAGGGCAAAGGTTCCAGCAGCGGGGAGCTGGTGGAGCCTTTCCCCCGCCTCCTTCCCCTGCCAGAGCCTTTCTCCGCTGGTGGAGTCTCTTCCTGCAGAGTGGAAAGGCTCCAGCAGTGGGACATCACATTGCTCAAAATGGCAGTGTAGCTGGAGAGGCAGGGCTTGGGTGAGTAGAAAGCATACATATCCACACCTTCAGAAGTGTCTTTTCTCCACTTGCCTATACTGGGCCTCACTGGCTATGCTGCTGCTGTTACTTGTGCTGGGGGGGGGCTATGCAAGTATGTATGATGAAAGGAGTATGCAGTGTAGACACAGACAGAGAGCGTGCCTTGGGGCAGTGGCTGGACTCCATTCAGGCTCCACGGGCTTAAAACATTCTGAGATCAGGGACACAAAGGCTTACATTCCCTACCCAGCAGTCCAGGGGGTGACTGAAAGGGGTGCCCAGCCAGATTAGTAGCACCTGCTTATCAGTAGAAGACAGCACTTAGCTGAGGTTGTGCAGTGACAGAGAATGATATTGGCATTAGCAGTTGGGACTCACCACAGAAGATGTTAAAGGTAGTTTTATACAGTAGTTTTTATACTTTACTGTGGAAATCAAGGGGTACGTCTACACTGCAATAAGACCTGCAGCACGGCTGTGGCTGGCCCGTCATCTGACTCAGGCTTGTGGGGCTCAGGCTGTGGGGCTCTGAGACCCCTTGAGGGGATTGTCAGAGCCCATGCTCCAGCCTGAGCCCAAATGTCTACAGTGCAATTTTTAGCCCCACTGCCCAAGCCCCTAAGCCCTAGTTAATTGACCCAGGCTCTGAGACTTGGTGCTGCAAGTTTTTTGTTGCAGTGTAGACATATCCAGAATGATCAAAATGTCATATATTTGCCTTCCTCAAATCCAGTGTAACTTAGAGCCCTGAAGAAAGGTTGTTATATACTATGAGCAATATGTTCTGGACCCAAGGTGTGAGATTTTATACTGTATTATAACTCAGTGATGCCACAAAGGTTGTCTCTTTTACAGAAGGATTTCTCATGGACTGTTCTAGCTCTGGGTTATCAGATGACAAAGTAGAGCTGATTCCAGCTCTGATGAACTACAGTATATGTGTTAAATTGGTAAATTCTTTAACTGGCTGTATCAGTTTTTGTTTTTTTTTTTAATTATAATAATTCTACTTCTCATTTTGGGAACAGATGAGGTCCACAACATGTTTACCCTGGCTGGGTTAGTTGAAGTGCAGAATCTAGTTGATCGACGATTACAAGTCAACAGGAAGAAAAAAGTGAAAATGCAGCGAGTTTGGATACAAGGCAAGTTCCAAAAACCATTTCAGCCACCTCAGAATAGCTGCCAATAGGCACCCTCATAGCAAAATATATAGGATTCCCCAGAGACCAAAACAAGTGAGTGCATATATATTTCCTGTGGATCCGGTGTTAACTGCTGAAAAGGCAGGAAAAATGTTGAACTGAAAGCATTTTCTTAAAAAAATGTACTTTTTTGTTGTTAAGAAGTGATGTGGAAAAATGTCTTTTGTCTCTGCTTGTATACATAATAAAATGGCTGTGCACTAACCTATTCATATCTCAATGACCTCTTATTATTTGGTTTGAATAGTCAAACAATATTAAAATATAACAAGTCAACTTGCTGCTGCAATTCTCATAATTTGTGAAGAGAATTTTAGACTGAAATGGAATTGTCTTATATGGTTTGAGCACAGGAATGCCAGTTCTCATAGGGGGAGGGATAGTTCAGTGGTTTGAGCATTGGCCTGCTAAACCCAAGGTTGTGAGTTCAATCCTTGAGGGGGCCACTTAGGGATCTGGGGCAAAAATCAGTACTTGGTCCTGCTAGTGAAGGCAGGGGGCTGGACTCGATGACCTTTCAAGGTCCCTTCCAGTTCTAGGAGATAGGTATATCTTTATATATTATTATTATTGTTATCGCTGCTCCTACCCTCTCTCCTCGCGTGGTCTCAGAGCCTGGGCTCCAGCCCAAGTTCAAACCCAAACATTTAAAAAAACTGCAATTTTATAGTCCAGCAGCCCAAGCTCCAGGAGCTTGATTCAGCCGACTTGGACCAATCGCAAGTGCTTTATTGCCATGTAGACATACTTTGAGAAATCCCCTACACCAGGGGCTCTCAACCTTTCCAGACTACTGTACCCCTTTCAGGAGTCTCATTTGTCTTTCATACCCCCAAGTTTAACCTCACTTAAAAACTGCTTACAAAATCAAACATAAAAATACAAAAGTGTGACAGTACAGTATTACTGAAAAATTGTTTACTTTTTCATTTTTACCATATAATTATAAATCAATTGAAATACATATATTGTACTTGCATGTCAGTGTATAGTATATAAAGCAGTATAAACAAGACAGTGTATGAAATTTTAGTTTGTACTGACTTCACTAGTGCTTTTATGTAGCTTGTTGTAAAACTAGGCAAATATCTATATGAGTTGATGTACCCCCTGGAAGTACATGTACCCCTGGTTGAGAGCCACTGTCCTACACCACAGTCTTTCTGCATTTCACAAGTGGATCCTCATCTCTTGGAGGAACTGTCTTTGTGCATATGCCTTCTGTTCCTCTATCTGAAGATGGGTTCCTCTGACGGAGTTTGTCCCTTCTTTCCTTTTTGATTTGCATAAAGACTTGTTATTTCTTACTAACAGTAGGCAGTCCATCCTCTGAGGGACATTAGCCAAATTCTTCAATATCTTTCATCATTCAGTTGCTCCATTCTGGTTGGCTGCGTGTCTCAGAACTCCACTCCCCAGCTACGTGCTCACAACTAACATGCCAAGTCCAACTTCTTATCTCCTCCCTATCTAGTTACCCCACCTAAACTGAAATGTTAAATACAGTATAATGAAGCTAAAAAGGATTGTATTTAATTAGATGAGGGAGCTAAGCCTTCCCCAATGGCTAAGTAGCAGTCGGGGATATAGGTTTATTGAGAAGACTGGGATGAGGTAGGGGAAGGAGGCAGAAGTTGAGGCAGTCATGTTTGTTGGGGACTGTGATGGGCAGAAACACCTAACACTGGGAAGGAGAGGGCTAATGAGAGCCTTCGGACCCAATTGGCCTTGCCCCGCTGTACCTGCAGGAGATGTCAGGCCTGGAGGAGGGGAGTTAAAAGGAGGAAACTTATCCCAATTCAAGGCTGACCAGGAAGGAGATCAGAGCTCGGCTTCTCTTGCTGTGAGAGAAGCCTGGTTGCAGACAGAAACTGAGGTTGAGGTCACCTTGCCTCACCTCACCTCCTGGCGGAAGGGATGACCAGACACTGGAAGACTGGTTGAAATCCTGATTGAAGACAAGCACTGCAGGTTCAGCAGGTTCATCATACCATGGTTTTGAGGTGGTTTTTTTTTCTGATTTCTTATGAACCTTAATACCCTGGAAGGGGTAGGACTGAAGTGTGACTTGGCTAGAGGGCTAAAGCACTGCTACATTGGACCTTGCAAGAGACAGCAAACCTATCAGCAGAGACCCCTGGCTGTATGAGTCGTGCCCTGACAGGCCACAAAGGGTCATTGCAGAGATAAATCCAGGGATTCCAAGGGCAGTAGACAGAGCATAGGGATTTATGCTTAAGAAATAAGCAAGTGTCCTGTTAACTCAATAGGGTGAGTCCTGTTAACTCAATAATAACTGTCCTGTGCTAACAAAGTCCTTGGCTTTTGTCCTCAGAGTTATTTTTCTATAAGGACATCATCTGTCAGGTTCATTTAGCTCATGATACAATGATAAACGGAGCATTCTCAGGTTAATCTAAATAGTCTGCACACATTGAAGAATTAATGTCAGCAATATATTCTAGGCTAGTAGCTGAAAGCCCATGTTGTCATGCAGGAGTAATTCGTAAAGTTGTGTGGAAAATGACAGAGAACTTAAAAATTGGACAGTAACAGACCACGAATCTCAGTGCTGTTTGAACCTGGTGATATGCTAAACAAAAATGGCTTTCAACCATGCCTGTAGCTGTTTCCATCTCTTCACACTGACTCCATAGACATTCGAGGCATGAGAGTGATGTATGGGGTGGTTGTGTGGGTGGCTGTGGTGATTTGTGTGGGGGTTGTGTTTGCTGGGTGAGTTGTGTTGATTTGTAAGGGTAGCAGAAGAGGAGGGGTTGTTCTACAGTGAAGGACTAGGTGTATTTGGAGTGTATGCTGGTTGTGTTGATTTGATTTGTGTCTGGGAGCATTGTGCTGGGAGATTTGTGTTAATTTATGTAGGTGGTGAATAAGTGTATGCTTCAGTGAAGGGCAATGTCTGTTTGGGATTCTTATGTATGCTGGTTGAGAGTGGTTGTGTTGATTTGTGTTTGTTGGGGGCGTACTGGAGATTTGTGTTGATTTTTGCAGGTGACAGTTGGGCACACAGGTGTGGCATTTGGGCCAAGAAATCCACCATCTGTGTGGTCTCCCTCATACAACCAGTTAAGTTGTTGCATGCAAATTAGCTGTAGAGTAAGAATGGTGACTGGTTGAATTACCTCTGATATCACGCTGGTTTAGGACTCTTGGCATGGCACAGACACATGCCTTACTATGGCTGTGCAGGTGTAATTTGTAAAGTCAGAATAGCTGTGTTCTTAAAAACTGGATGGTAACAGACCACAAAACCCAATGATGATTCGACCTGGTGATATTCCGACCAAAAAGAGCTTGTAGCTGCCTCCATTGCTTCACAGTACTCAGCAGCCATTTTAGGCTTCAGAATGACATTCCTGGAATCTTTTTAGATAGATAGATATAGACGATCAGCGCCAAATCAATTTATTTTACCAGTTCACAGACATACTTATTCTGATACATATCATCTCTCTCCTTAATCAGAAGTATTGGTTTACAGAGAACCTTATTAAAAGATGAAGTAAGTATTACCAGAAGCACCTTTTGTTTGGAAGGTTGGTGGTGTTTGTATCAAAATATTATACAACTACCACATTGCACCCTACAGGCGGTTAAGTCTCAGTGGAGGGTAAAGTATTTGGGGCCAGACATTACGGGCGTTACACATGCACATTTCCCATCAAGCTTTTAGCTTTCTTTCCTTTTGTTGTTTGAGTCTGGCCTAACTAACCATTGTATTTTTATTTGTATTTATATATGCAAGCAACAGCCACCTAGTTTGCTGGTAGCGAACAGCTGATTTCTGGACGCTGAAAAATAAAGCAAGATAAAATTATAGAAAAGGTACTAGGAGTACTGTGACCACACTTTAAGAAAGATGTGGACAAATTGGAGAAACTCCAGAGGAGAACAACAAAAATAAGAGGTTTTGAAAACATAATTTATGAGGGAAGGTTGAGGAATTTGCATATTTAGTCTAGATAAGAGAAGGCTAAGGGGGAGATATGATAACAGTCTTCAAATATGTAAAGGACTGTTATAAAGAGGATGGTGACCAATTATTCTCCTTGTCCACCAAAGGTAGGAGAAGAAGGAATTAGTTTAATTTGCAGCAAGGGAGATTTAGGTTAGATAGTAGGAAAACATTTCTAACTATAAGGATAGTTAAGCACTGGAACAGGCAACTTAGGGGGGCTATGGAATCCCTGTCCTTGGAAGTTTTTAAGAACAGGTTAGACACATGTCTGCCAGGGATGGTCTAGGTATACTTAATCCTGCCTCAGTGCAGGGTGATGAACTACATGAGCCCCTTGAAGTCCTTTCCAACCCTACATTTCTATGATTCCTTCCATTATGGTAGATGTGAAATGTCCCTAATTTGTCAAAATATTTTTGTTACACTTTTAATGTATTCTGTACAGGTAAGTTATTTTAAATATGTGGCAAAGGTCTGAGCTTCCCCCTCCCTCTCAGAGCATATAGCATGGTAGAAGGTAGGAAATAATGCCCATTGCATCTTAATCTCTTCCATTCTTCTCAGTGCCAAAATGAAGTCTTCATAACTTTTTATCTACCGTGATCATTTTAGACCAATAGCATTTTAAATCGCAGGAGTTATAGATGGAAAAGACCTTACTAGATCATCCAAACCACTTTCCTTCCCATTCATCTAAAATGTACTTTTGTTAAATTTCTAGACCCTTGTTAGGCCCTGGGGTAGATTACAGAAACGTAAGTCCTTGTTTTCTACATTTCACACAGAAGAATTTTATGGACCTGATCCTGTATTCCTGATAAACATGTAGCTCCTGTGGAAGTCAGTGGGAATTTTGTGTGCACTATGCCTGCAATGTTTGGCACTAAATCATTTATCCACCATTGAGACTTAGCCACATGTAGGGTGAAATATGGTAGCTCTATAACTGCAGAGATATGCTACACCACTGTTTAGGACAAGAAGTGAAGAATATCGCTTTTATTGTGAACTATAATGGGGATCTTCAGGAGACAGAATGTAATTACCCCCAATTGAAATTTAACCAGGACATAAGGAGGGTTAACATCCCTACCACTGCAAAAAGTGTTGAGATCTTTCCTGACCACAGCTGGTCAGCACCTCAGGACACCTCATGCAAAAGACAAATTAGTTAAAAAATGCAACAAATCAACACAATGTAATATTGGCATTATCCATCTAACTG